CCATCAAACAATGGATACAAAAAGTCTCAGGAATTGTGAAACAACTATCCAAGATTGAGACAGGCCTAACCGTTTATCAAGGAACCATCGGCCAAGGTTACGAAAGACCTACCTTGCCATAAAATCGTAGTGTCATCAGCAAATAGAGTTAAAGTACTTTCAATCTTAAGTTATGTTATTTATATAAAGAAGAAATAAAATGGAATTCAACAGAAAACCTTTAGGAACTCGTCAACTTTTATCTAAAACTTGTGAGTCCTTAGTAGTTCTTACCATTTGCTTATGTTCTGAAACATAATATTTTATCATCAGAGCTTCGTCTTCGAAAGTTTTTTAAACAATAATGCATGATTGACACATTCAAACGCCTTAGTCAAATAATATATCTGAGAGACAGCTACATTAAAATTAATTTTAGAGTAAGCAAATTCAAGATAAGAAAATATCGTATTAAAAAATAAACGTGTGGAGGAGGCGATCCAGTTTTGATAATTGATATAGGCAACCAATAATGCATATTATATCTGTAATTTTGGATGGAAAAAACTCCGTTTGGTATTCTTGTCTTTACACTGCCACTGTCAAACCTTTGGTGATTATGATACAGTTTATTTTACTCCTAAGCTCTACTAACATAGAAAATACTACTTGTGTTTGTGTTGTTAAAATTTAGGATATGGATTAATTCTAAATTTAATAAGAGTTGTAGAATCATGAAAAATGTGTGTTATCGGACCTTACCAACAGTAGTTATTTTAATTATACCAAAAATATTAGATGTCTGAAAAACGCATTGCCGATTAGTTTCAATGCGATGTTGCTTAATTTTTGATCCCACTAAACGAAGTAATATTAAATAGTGTTGATATCATACAATCATTTTCTTGTGTAGGCGGCTCATGTTTGTACCTGACTTTTATACCTCTGTAGTGTAAGTAGCTAATAGTTTAAGAGCTAGCGGACGCAATATGGTACGATCGTATCTCCAGCTCAAATTTTGTGATGTACTTAGCGGGACCATCAGGAAGTATCATCTCCAAGGATTTAGTTTAGAACCACAGCAAACGTGACGTCAGACAACTCAAAATTATCAAAAATACCGAGAAAAAAGATCGTACTTCCTGCTGAAAATTTACATATCATTTCCTTGGAGGTCCGTAGGAAGTATGCAAATCGTTAAATGGCATCACTGCTAAAGGGGTGTCAGACGCCATTAAAGTGGGAATTTTCTTGTTCAATTTTTTTTCCTCCGTCTGATGTTTTAACATATTGTCGTAGGAGACCTTCATTAACACATATTATAATCGTCAGACGGAGGAAAGAATGCTGCAAAATTCATCTACAATACTGCAACTTTTGGACCGCCCGTTAATTCGGTCTGGGCGCGCTTCATATTATTTTTATTTGAAGTCTCACAGACCATTGAAAATTGGATTTTATTGAAAAATATGATGGTTTATTTAAAAAATAATAAAATAAGTTTAAAACTTTCAATATATGTATACACATAAAAATAAAAATTTTAAATTAAAATAATATATGGATTCTGCTATAAATTTATTATTATTACATATTAATATATTATTATAAAACCATCGTACCTCGGACTGAAAATTTACATATCACCTATTTGTAGGTGAATGGTGAGGAATGCAAATTGTCAGATGGCTAGGCCACTGCTGAAGAGGTGTCAAGCGCCCCCAAATTTGTCATTTTTGATCGATTTTTTTTTTGTCTCCGACTTACGTTTTAACATTTCTTGGAAACCTTTTTAAACATATTATTGCCGCGTTTGAGAATCCACATCCGATGCATCTGAGATGTAAAAAATCTTTGATCACGTGATTCAGTATACGTAAATGTAATGGGATAGATGTGTCCGATGTGGATAAAAAAACGCTCGAGATGTAAAAAATGTATCCGATGTGGATTCTCAAACGCAGCAAATAATTGCCCGGCGAACAGGCCGCTGCAAATTCCTCCTGTTTACTAACGTGTTTGAGATCAGAAAGTGGAATTGTTTGGTGCAACTGCAACTAATAAACCCTTTCCCGTGCGCTAAGTTAAACGGAAAAATATCAAAATTGAAACAAAGCTTAAAATCAATACCACAGCAGAAAATGTATTAGTAAACGCCGCGACTTGTTTCGGCATACATGGCCAACTTCAGGCCTGCAATACAAATAAGGACGATAATAAAATTAGTGAAGATGGAAATACGAATAGTTATAAATTCTAGTAAATCTTAGAATCCATATGTAGGAATCATTAAGTTTGTGGTGTGATAATTATTAAATTATTTTGAATAAAAATGTTTAAAAAAATGTGTGTAATTAACAAAGAAAATTTAGCCAACTATTTGTCACGTTTGCAGGGGTTCTAAACTAAATCCTTGCAGATGACATTTCCTTATGGTCTCGGCAACCACTTCATGAAAAATCATTAGAGAAGGTACGATCGTACCACCTTACGGCCGCTAACTCTCGATCTATAACGGAGATATCAATAATTAATATATTAAGTGGAATCTTATGTACGGGGTATAGCGGACCTATTTAGGAACATATGTAATACTGATTTAAATTTGTGAGGCCTTTTTTTGTAAGTATCTCGATCATTCATTATTGGCTTCTAATTTAGTGTTATTCGAGGTGTTTATTTTTAAACTGTGGTTTGGCGCTTCACAAAATATGATGCTAGTAATGTAGTTTTTTTACCATAAAAAATTAACTGACTACTAATTTTGTGTTAAACTTTGTAAAGTGGCTAAACTGTTTGGATGTGTCTAGTTGGCCAGTACCATGTTTAATATTTATAAAAAGTTAACTACGTAAAAAATCTTAAGTGCAGGCAATAATTTAATGCACTGCTTTAATCTACTATTAAAACTTTTTTTTTCTGAAAATAAACAGTAAGGAAACTACATTATACATTGTTAAAAATGTATCAGGTATATATTTATATTAACTCAGACAATTTAAGAAATGTTTATAGATAGAAGTAAGGATACTGTCTGCCAGGGAGAGCTAAGTGAAAAGATATAGTCGAGTTACCTCTACAGCAGGCCTGCACAACTAGATTTTCAAAGGGCCAGTTTGAGAAACCGTAAGTGTACGAGGGCCAAGAGAGACCTGAGCAAAAAAAGGTCCTCGCGTTATAATTCTGCCGAGCTTTTCTAGAAACAAAGGTCGTCAGCCTAAATGTAAGTTTGTTACTGAAAACTGTATAGTTTGTCGTAGGCGGGATAACGGGCCGCCAAAACGACAATAGCGGGCCGCATATTGTGCAGGCCTGCAGCATTCTCGTTGGCAAATGACATTTAAAAAAATTTAATACATTTGTAATCAGCAGTTAAATTTTCTCGATTTTTTTAGAAATATAAACATCTTCACTTAATTACATGGCATTCTCTTATTCAGTAGTTAAGTTGCTGAAATTCCGTCAATATTTTATATGATATCCATTTAGGGATATTTTTTTCACCAACCCAGATAGCACGGGACGTCCGATAGACATCCCAATTTGGTCCGGGACCTAAATCGGATGTCTATTGGACTTCCGATTACAGTAAGCACCAGGACGTCCTTCGAAGATCTTGGTCGCGTTTCGACAAAATGTTTTCGGTCCGAGTCCAGGACGTTAATGGAACACATCTATGGGACTTCCTATATACTGGCATCGTTGGTCTTTGAATCGATAACTTGAAATTCAATCTTTTATTTTTGCGAGAGAAGGAGGACAGAAAACCTAATCTATCATTTAATTTCAAATAAACAACACCCAGCTAAAATATTAAATAATAAGAAAAATGTTAGGCATTAAATAATTGAGTTAGAGACGAAGAAAAAAAGAATGTTATATAGTGTTTTTTTTTTGGTGGTAAAGTGAATGGGTATAAAGTAAGTGAAGTGAGTGTTTTGTGTTGAAGTGAGAATAAGTGATCTGTATTGGCGATAGCTTTGGCGGAAAGGAAGCTCCTCAATGGCGAACGTGAGACCTGCTGTTGGAACAAATCAAATTTTGACAAAATTATAAAACTCAGTTATGTTGACCCAAGCTATAAGCAGGACTCAAGGTTTCATCTTACCTGCATTGTTTTAAATTTAATTCATTTGTTTTTTTTTTTTTTGTAAACTGAAAAGGGTTAACTCTATGTTAATTAAAGCCCTTTTATTGTTAAACATTTTTGTTATTATTAGCCTTTATGGAGTATGGTTAAATAACGTCTGATTTACGTCCCTAGGACGTCTCGTAAAGGTCTTGGATGTCCCTATGAAGTCCTTTTGGGATATCCCACAGTTGGACGAAAAAGGGACATTAGAACGTCCAGTGGACGTCGAGTTTACGTCCCGGTACCGGAGGTCCATGAGGAACGTCTTTTAGACGTCCATGTGCTATGTGGCAATAGTTGCCTATAAAAACTATAAAAAGAAAAAGTTGACACAATTGAGTCTTATTTAAGAATAAAACTAGTCATAGATATTTACAAATTTATTATGAAAATAATATATAAGTACCAACAAATTTTGAAATTTGAATAGACATAAAAATTTAGAGAAGCTTTAAGTGTATTAAATTAATGTATTAATATCATTATAAATAAACGAATTAAAATATAACAAAATTTTAATTGACTTAATAGGATCAAATAAACAATATAAAAATAAATATTTCTACACTTTAATGGTAGAAGTGGATGGATTATGTAGGTATGTAAAAATAAATACTAATAAATATATAACATCTTGGATAAAAATTACTAGCACTAAATTAAAAAAAATCACTGGTATTTTTGCAATTTAACAATATATATGACATGATTAATCGAAGCGAAATGTCATGGTAATAATTATCGCCAAAATGACTAAAGAATAACAAAAAATAATTAAACAAAATATACATATAAATATCTTTAAGTACTTATCGTATTTAATGAAAGTGTGTAAAAGAAAATAATTTCACTTCTAAATGTTACGAAAACAAAAATGAATTGTTAAGGCCTCTATTTTCAATTGTAGTACTATACCAGTACAACTAATTTTTATACTAAACCAGAAATATACTATTTTATAACGAATTAGACATCTATCGCATCAAAAACTTCAGTATCTCACTTAACTATTTCTGACAGATCAATGTGCAAAGTTGTAATTTTCATTAAATGAAAACCTACAATAAGCAGATTATAATTAGTATGATAAACATTTGAGGTATTGAAGGTTGGAAAACAAATTTATACTGCAATAATGGAAATATTGTAAATTTTAATAGCACCAATGGTTTTTTATTGGCTTGGACACAAGCAAGAATGTTATGGCTAGTTAGGTCTACTAATAGTAGCTCATGAGGGGAAGTATGAGGAGTTCTATATTCTTAGGGATCCCTTGGGCAATGAACGTCACACAGTTTTGCAATGGAATCCCCAAGACAAAAGATATTTCAAAGTGTAGTGCATGTCTATCCTATGTTTCATAAGGAAAAAAAATAACAATAATGTATATTTAATGAGACGAAAAAAATATGACAACAGACAGAAATGGAAAACTACTTAAGAATACATGTAACGTATGATGTATGGAATTAAGTTGTTGACAGGTAGGTACTTCATTAAGAGATAAAAAAAAATCAGTGGATCAGGCAAGAACAAAACAAGAGTAGATCACAGGTACATTCTTTTTGACGTAAATGGCGATTAAAAGGACAGCCACTAAATGAACAAAGCGAGATATATATCTTGGCGACATTATCAACTTCAGAACAATAGACTGGTTGATGAGCCAAGAGGATGACACTTTGCCACTCGAGGATTCATGATGGGCCTAACGAGACCAGAATAAAAATGGGAAATGAAATAGCAAAATTATTTCTTAGAGACTAGGAGGAAAATGTTACCGATATTTGCCGAGATATTTTATCACATCACACAGAATGTAATTCCGTGATGATGAACAATACACAAGTCCGAACTGGTTAGTTACATCATTTAAAAATTAAAGGATAGTGACAGGGGGATTCTTCTGGCCTATAGTTCTAATTATAAGCTTATATTAAATAATAAATAAAAACTAATTCGATTTGAAAAATTACCAGAGCACAATGAAACACTTTTTAGATTTATTGCATTGAGATTTACTGATTTCTGATTATAAAGAATATCAGAATATTTTCAAAATTGCAGATTCTGTATTGAAAAATTTAATAATCATTGTACCTAAATGCAAGGGCGGCTCCAAGACTAATTTTCGGGGGGGGTAGCATTGCCTTTAGCCATTCCCTATTTAGCATATTTTTTTAAATAAAAGGCTCATAAATCGTAAGAATTTTCATCTCGGGGGGGGCATAGCTCCCCCCATGGAGACGCCCTTGCCTAAATGTTTGTTTACGAAAAACTCAAATTTTAATTTGAAATTGTATTAAAACGATGTTTTAATTTAAACAGTCCTCAGGGAATATTTTGTTACAATTATTTTGCTACCTACAGCTTTATGACGGTGTCACAACTTTACTAGAAACTACTTTTTGGCTAAAATATCCTATGTTATCTCATCATTTGTCTAAAGTCGTCTAATTTATAAACGCTGTTTGATAACCTACCAAAAGCGTTAATTAAAGAGACTATTTCATTTCTTTGGAGTTGAAATTCCTTTTTATTGTGAGAATCTAACGATCTATTATAAGTCATCGAATCGAATTTGCCGCTAAATAGTATTTTTAAGGCGGTTCCTAAACCTTGCGTTTGTAATTTTCCCCATAAACGACATTTATCGCATCCTACACAGTCCATGATCCTTGTTATGTTTCGAAAGTGTTGCTTGAACTCATATTTCAGTTTCTGAGCTTGTTCTGAGTTTCTGAACATGGTAGTTTCATCAAAGTGATCAGGGAACGATTTTATGATGCTCAGTAGATCTTTGATGGCCATTTTGGTGTCCCAATCATTGGATTCGTTACCTAAAAAATTATAATTATTACAAAATAATTTTGTACTGAGTTACTATTGTTTAAATGAACAACATTATTGAAACCTAACCTAATTATTACAAATTCTAATAAACGAGAAAAAATTGAGACAAGGGGGAATTATCCTATGAAAATAAAGTGGAATATATTGAAAATACGACAAAATAAACAAAAATATTAGCAAATTTTTGTCTCTTTAAATAATAACCAGATAATTAAAATTAAAAAAGAAAGTCGAACATTTAAACGTTAAAATGTTTTGTTGTTACTTTGATATATAAAAACGTTGGTGATTATTGCACTCGATAAGTCGCTTCCATCATTTTTACTCATATAAGGGAAATGGAGGGAGAAAAGAATGATTTCAGAAGAGTTCTGAATATTTTCGAGAAAGTTATACTTGTATGAGTTATCAGTTGTGAGTTTTCTGAGGTTATGATATTCACAATTTTTCCAGGTTCAAGTCTCTGGGCGTAAATATTAAATGTTTTTTCAGACAAGACATTCCCTGAATTTAATTAATTTGGTACAAAGCAGTTTTTCTTCATTTAGTTTCCTACATTATAACATATTTTAAATGCATATATATTTATATTATATATTTTTTGAAAGTTTCTTAATACCAAAGCGTTTCAATTACCTGTATAAAATTCCTCGCTTTCCAAATATGGAGCTGCTTTAACCAGAGCCCGTAATTCTATTAAATAAATAAAATAAAGGTTTCTTAACCAATTGGGGCCTTCACCGTTCGTATTTTCTGGGGAAAATCTCTTCTGAAATTCGTCTAGATTCGCACCCCATTTAGCCCTTCCTAAACCTAAACTATTATCCTTAGTTATTAAGTAATCCGCACATAGATGTGTATTTATACTGGCGTGCAGACCGGATATTGACCTATAGAAAACCCTTTCTTCTAGACAGAGTTCCTGTAGTTTGTTGCTTTGGATGTACGGATTGAAACTGAAGGATGTTTTTGGTCTAAAGCAGTTTTCTAAGTAGATGCTTTTCCACACTCGATGGGCTGATTCACCTGAATACCTAAACATGTATATCTTTAGCAATTTAAATCAATTATTCTTCTTCAGTAAACATTCATAAATTTGTTTATTTCTAACAATTTCATTATAAGTAATTCATGTAAATGTCAATGAAATTAACCTCCAAGAAACTTGATACAAGGGCGTTTTGAATTTTATTTCTTAACACTGGAGTACTAAAATATTCAGTATTAATTTACTTAACTGAGAACACTTAATAGTTTATCAATAAATAGAAATTACTAGTGTCATTAGCGTTCTATAATTTAAGTTTAATGACGTAAACAACATATTTTTAATTAGGCTTTAAATATATTAGGAAATAACTTATTGTTTTAAAATATTGATAAAACTTGCCTTAACATTGAAATAACGTTAGTTTAAACTATAATAGAATTTTTTTTTTTGTATATTCTGGAGAATATAATATTTGTACTTACCCTGTAAATCTTTCGGGATTTAGCAACAAATCAACATACTCTGCTTCTTCATCACTCTCATCTATGTCACAAAAATTGTCTGTGGCATCATCATAAGCTTCCCAAAGTTGAAGTTCCTTTTGGAGTTTCTCGGAAATCGTTTTATTCAAATAATCTGTAATACGAGTAAATAAACAGTGTTTTTAATCTATAAACCACTCAACTGATAGCTATAAAAAAAAATATATTTTGGACAAATTAATTACCCATTTAATGTTGATTAAATATTTATCTGGTTATTCAATTGAGGATTTAATTTGCCTTTCAAACCAAAAAATTTAATCAAAGTTACAGCTGTATCAATTTATCAAAAAAACAATATTTTGGGATTATGTAATTTATCAGAAATGTCGAGAATGCACTGATAAAAGCTAATGTACTATTACTCAACCTATATGTCTTGTAGTAAGCTCACTATTGGTGAATTTCTTTTAAATATCAATTTTTGTACATATTGTTTAATATTGGTTTTTGTAAGGCTCTGGGCCAAGAAATATTTACCTAACTCGTGATGTTCTGTACAGTCTTCATTAGCTTGCTTGGAATATTTTTTACTGGGGTGGGGTCCTGCAGCAGGTGGTCGCTTCTGTTTTTCAGTACCTTTGAGCCCATCAGGTATATCTTCTGGGGGACAGGGCTTTATGTGACAATCTTTCATTGCACATTTGCTATCGTCTATCCAAAATGGGCATGGTCTTTTCAAATTTACCTAAAAAAAAAGTTTGAAATGTTTGTTTAATTTACGTTCAGAAAAACTAATAAACTTACTCTTTTAATTTATTTTTGTTTTACATAGCCGCAGCTAACAATATTAATAAAAAAATTATGCTATAAGTAATCATATTTTAAGAAACAACACCACCCTATTTCCATTGATTAAATTCGATTATAGTGTTCAACAAAATAATAACCTGACGTTGCTTAAAATAAAAAAATAATATAAAAATATTTAAAAACAAAACTGTGGTGGATGTAGAAATTTAAATCACTTCTGAATTGTTTACTGTCCGAAAAATGTGAACTTAAAAAAAAAAACAATAGAAGGACATTGAGGTATATAACAAATAGAAAATAACGAAAAATACCATTAAAGAACAAAATAAATAATTTGAATTAATCAACTTTTACACAAACATTGGAAATTGGGAATATAAAATAAGCTAAATCATTATAAGTTACAAAGTTGATTAGCTTTTAATTAGAAAATTCGAAATGCTAATATTAAACCATTCTTTCTCTGTACATACTGTATTTAAAAAAGTTCTTTCAATACTATACTATTAATTGTAATTTACCTTGAAGTATTTGAAGTAATTATTCATTAATAAACTTTTAACCCTAGGATATATTTTGACATTAAAATAAGATACAGTTTCAATGTTACTAGTACAGTCCTCGATTTTACCAGATTCACAGAAGTACTCAAGTGTTTTGTTATCTACACATGAATAGTGTATCAAAATAATAATGAACAAATGTACATTGTATCTGGACATCTCGTGGAACAGGTAAAATTTACTGATGTTGTTTTTATTTTTTATTGAGATTGATATTATAATAATTGGATTATTTATTGTGACGTAAATTGAATAAAATTTTTGTCGTTATCGATTCGGTTTATGAGTAGAACATATAAAAATATATTAAACATTGTTTTAATCAATTCAGTCATGAATTTATATTTATGTTGATTGATAATTTTTGGACTTGTTGATTTTTTTTTATATTAAATAAAGCTGAGCATTCAGGTACTCCTGCATAATGATAATAATCAAGTTTTCTATTTTGCGTCTCTATGTTATTAGTCTAATAGGGTTGTAAAAGACAAAAATAGAAAAAAAAATCATTTTAAAGGGGACACATGGCCCAAAATAGATAAAAATAGTATAAAGAATGTGTTTCATAAAGTCATTTATGGCATTCTTTCTTTATCATGTAGGCAGATGAGAACAGCATCACTGCTTTTGGACAAACTACAAAAGTGTCTTGTCTATTTGAAATATAAGTACTATAATTGGCGTCATAAAAATAGTCTAATATTAAACAAAGATAAAACAATAATATATTGAATCATTCTCCATATAAACCAGAATATATTTTCACTTTCGAAATAAATCACAGACCAAAGATGGTGCAAAACTCATTGAAGCATTTGCTGCAGAAGGGGACACAATAAATATTTTAGATCCCAGTACACCACAGCATAACATCCCAAGGAACATTTAAAATAGGGTTTTTTTACACTCTTTTGTCTTTTGTGGTATCCTTTCAATATGAGTGTTGAGTGTATAGTACTCGTAACGCTGTAGATATATGCATTTATTGTGAATGAAAGTAATTTTTAATATAGCTCTATAATTGAAAGGAAGAGTTTTTAATTTTTTCAGGTAGAAACTATGGAAAATATCACTTTGGTAGAAGGTGGCCAAACATAGGGCTAAGATAGTATAAGATGTGTATTAAATTGACAAAAATAAACAATATTTTTATTTTTTTATTAATTTAAACAGCTTTTTTGCTACTATTTGGCAAAATCGGCATAAAAAGGGTGAGGGGGGTATCAGGTTGTCGGGTATTTTAGCCACACACATCAATTTATTGCTTATCACTTATCATTAATATGATCGAGTTTCCCTATGACACAATAAGTGTCTGGGTTTTCTCTAGGTTTCACTCGAACCTTTTTTTTGAAACCCGCTCAGACACCCTACAAACTAGGTCAAATCCAGGGAAAACTGAACGGATGGCTGCCCTAGGTGAAAATAATCTATCTACATTTGCTGGAAGTAATTTTCACTATTTAATTAATTAGGTACCTATAGAGTGATAAACATATAAAGAAAAACTGATTTGCTAATATTTCAATTTACCAACAATGAGATAAGCATGACTCAGTAGGGTGGTCGAACCGGTTAGCTAGACAGTACAATTTTGAATAAAAATCCTTTAAAATAAGAAACTTTTATCACCTTTGCGCTTATATGATTGATTTATACTTTGTTTATATGATCCCCCTTCCACTCACACATTTTTAGCACCATATTATCTTAGGAGAAGCAGTTAAATAATTAAAAAATGACAACTGCACCAAGTGCTTGTGTTAAGACCTGACATTACAAAAATTGTAGTGGACTAGTTTCTGAAAAATAGGAAGTAGATATTCTAATATTAATTTTTTATAGATAATTTAGTTTTCTATGGATACTAGACCTATAAAGTTACATTTTTAGGCATAAATATCGTACTTAGGGCCAATCTTTTCACATCTGAGTGTTACATGTAGTTTTACTTGACAGATTAATATACAATAGCCCTATATATATTATATGCTTAACTTCCTAATAATTTGCATATTCCCCAACCAGTGTGTTATAGTCTACGAGTATGACACCAATAAATCGTCATATGTTACCGTTTCGATCATGGTGGATAAGGTTTCCCTCACCTGTAAGTCAAATATGGCACCATCAATCATCTTAAAGTTGCACCAGAGCACCATGGCAAATAATAATAGCCGTCCCTTTCCCAAACAAGCTCAGTCAAATTATTATTATTAATGAAAAAATACTACAATGGACTAGCAGAGATGCCCGGAGAATGTTAACCACACTGTAACTCAAATCAATTTTTCTCAGTTTTCCAAGAAATAATTTTTTTAAATGCTTTTGATAAATTTCCAGCTAATAAACGTAATATGACGATGGTCGAAAAATACGACTTTTACGGCCACCTGTCCGAAAAAAGGTTCAACAGTGTCTGGCAATTTGTCCAGGGTGTCCGAAAACTGATAAATGTTGCTTTTCCCAACATTTTCTTAATTATTTTTAAAATGTATTCACATAACATATACTGCCTTTTCCCTTTCTATTTTCAATACTCCATTGATTACTTATGTCCCTGTATAAGTAATATACACAGAAAAATAACTCAATTATGTACGTTTTCCCACCATCAGTAGAATAATTAAAATTGAGTAATATTCCAAAATACTGTATATGAAATAAGAACAACTGCTATATTTTTAAAAACAATTAAATAGATAATTTTTTTTACATAAAAGTGATTTGGAAAATTATAGGAATTAAAATATTTAAAAAATTATCAACTTGTATTCAGATGGAAAACATAATAATAATCTTATGTTATTAGAGAAATTGTTGTAAAATATTATTCTTAATACTTTAAGCATATTTATCAATGGGTAAAACCAGTATTATTACCTGGATATTACTTATTACATTAAATCTGTGGCATGATAACTACTTGAAATTAGTTACCTAAAACTTATTTCTTGAATACATAATTGGTAAAATGTTCAATTTTAGAAGAAGCTTTTATATGTTGACTTGTCACTTTCTCCTGTGCTTATATCTATGACACAAACTTATAATAATTTTAGTCAGAAACATCTAAAATTAGATAAAATATTGGTTTTTGGCTTCATTTTGTATTTGTAGAATTTATAACACATTTACTAGTTTTATGACATCAGAAAATAGATACTTGACTTCAATGAGTATATACTCATTGACAAATCAAGAAAATTAACAGTTATTTAGTTTTCTAGAACTGAGACCACTTACCTTGTAAAATCTAAAATAATCCTTCAACAGCAAACTTTTCAACCTGGGGTAAATTTTAACATTATTAAAATAATCAACTGTATCGATATTACATGAACATTCATCGATTGCCCCGGATAATTGGCAAAAACAGTGATCTTGTTTGTCAACATTGAAATAAGCCAAACACTGGTTGAACACCAATATACTTAAAAATATCGATAAACTTTGTGTAAACATTATTTATGACCATCGCGATAAATATTCGTCTGAATTTATTAACGGTGTGCCGGTAAATGGGATACTGTAACTCATTTCTGTTGTATCTTTCTATACATTTTTTGATCGACCTACAATTATTGTACACGTATGATCAGCTGTAAACTGTCAGATTTGGAGAGGTTGAGGTTAGTGTAAAAGTCATGTCATGTGTATGCGAGACTGAGATCGCGCATCGTTAATGCGACGTTGTCGATGTGCTTCCAATGTAAGCGGAAGTGGTGATTTTTTGTAATATTTTTACAACGATAGTATTTTAAAAATAATTGGGTAAATATTTTTGGGTGCGTCAGCAAAAAAATTAAAAATATCAATTTTTGTTATATTTTAATCTTTGGTAAACATTTATTATTTATAAAATAATACATTAAATTAGATGGTCATAACTTAGGGCCCTATTGAGTAATTTATCGTTTATGGACGACATCGTTAAGCTAACGACAGTTCAACCAACGACTTTTATAACGATAATTTTTGTAACTCTATTCAATAACAAAGTCGTTACGTTGTTTCTAGTTACCAAATCTGAACGATGATTTCTAGTAAGTTGGTATTATAATTTAGTGTTTTGTGATAAAAGAACGTATGTTGATGATTATACTGGGTGTTTAAATTAAAGTTTTACAGTTAAATATCGCCAAAAATATGCATTTTATAAAAAAAAGTATCGGACAAAAGTTTTATAGTTTTTTAGGGGTAACATTTTGGCTAAATTAATTTTTTTATAGCTGACCATAATATGGCCATATCGAGGTGGATTTTTTTTTCAAATTGGAACCCTATTTTTTTAAATAGGTAGGTATTCTTAGAGTTCATAAAAAAATAAGAAACTTCTATATATCTGGAAAATACCGCGTGAATGGTGGTCCCATATTTTGTTGTGGATTTTTTTGGATCATTATTCATTTTCAAATTCAATTTTTCCGAAATTGTGTCTAAAAGAGATAGAATCAGTTATGAGCAGTTAGCATCTAGTCTACACACATACGTCTAGTCGTCGCACGCACACAAACACCGTGCCGATGTCTGCCGAACTGAAGCGACGTTAGACGCCACACCGCCGTGCCAGTCGGAGTGGGGGGTGTTAGGTTTATTTTCGTAACGGAATTTCTTTTTTGATTTTTCGGATTTTTCGATATTTCGGTTTTGCGATTTTTCTTCGATTTTTCGATTTTTTGATTTTTCGATTTTGCAATTTTTCGATTTTTAGATTTTTTTCGATTTTTCGATATTTCGATTTTACAATTTTTAGATTTTTTCGATTTTTCGATATTTAGATTTTCGATTTTTCGGTTTTTCGATTTTTAGATTCTTAGATTTTTAGATTTTTAGATTTTTAAATTTTTTAGATTTTTTTAGATTTTTAGATTTTTGGATTTTTAGATTTTAGATTTTTAGATTTTTAGATTTTTAGATTTTTAGATTTTTAGATTTTTATATTTTTTTAGAATTTTAGATTTTTAGATTTTTAGATTTTTAGATTTTTAGATTTTTAGATTTTTAGATTTTTAGATTTTTAGAATTTTAGAATTTTAGATTTTTAGATTTTTAAATTTTTAGATTTTTAGATTTTTCTATTTTCTGATTTTTCGATTTTCTTTTATTGAATAAATGAGAAGTTAATATTGTTTAAAATATTTTTATTATTTTACAATACATGTAGTGTTGCGCTTGTACACCTACCAGGTGGACAGAGAACGTCAAAAAATGAGGGGACAGTTGAGGAGAACTTATATTTATTCATTATAAAAATATATAGACAATTCACAAAATTATTAATGTCAATTCAATTATATAAGTCATAATTCTTTTTAAACCAAGGTAACATAAAACGAAAATAAAGTACATCAACAATACGGAGTACCAGTAACTTGAGTCAGTAATACTCAATTCCCAACATGTAGGTTATTCAGAAATTTTTATTATTGAAACTATAGGTTTATGGTAACTGAAATAAGAAACATAAGTTTGAGACTTGATATCTTCTAAATATCTGGAAAATACCGCGTCAATGGTGGTCCCATATTTTGTTGTGGATTTTTGTGGATCATTATTCATTTTCAAATTCAATTTTTCCGAAATTGTGTCTAAAAGAGATAGATTCAGTTATGATCAGTTATCAGCTAGTCTACACGCATACGTCTAGTCGCCGCACGCACACAAACACCGTGCCGATGTCTGCCGAACTGAAACGACGTTAGACGATGCACGGCTTTCAACGCCGCACTACTGTGCCAGTCGGAGTGGGGGGTGTTAGGTTTATTTTCGTAACGGAATTTCTTTTTTGATTTTTCGATTTTTCGGATTTTTCGATTTTTTTTTTTTTTTTCGATTTTTCGATTTTTGATTTTTCGATTTTACAATTTTTCGATTTTTAGATTTTTTCGATTTTTCGATATTTCGATTTTACAATTTTTAGATTTTTAGATTTTTTTCGATATTTCGATTTTTAGATTTTTCCATTTTTCGGTTTTTCGATTTTACGATTTTACGATTTTACGATTTTACGATTTTTCGATTTTCTTTTATTGAATAAATGAGAAGTTAATATTGTTTAAAATATTTTTATTATTTTACAATATATGTAGGTTATTCAGAAATTTTTATTATTGAAACTATAGGTTTATGGTAACTGAAATAAGAAACATAAGTTTGAGACTTGATATCTTCTAAATATCTGGAAAATACCGCGTCAATGGTGGTCCCATATTTTGTTGTGGATTTTTGTGGATCATTATTCATTTTCAAATTCAATTTTTCCGAAATTGTGTCTAAAAGAGATTGATTCAGTTATGATCAGTTAGCAGCTAGTCTACACGCATACGTCTAGTCGCCGCACGCACATAAACACCGTGCCGAAGTCTGCCGAACTGAAACGAAGTTAGACGATGCACGGCCTTCAACGCCGCACCGCTGTACCAGTCGGAGTGGGGGGTGTTAGGTTTATTTTCGTCACGGAATTTCTTTTTTGATTTTTCGGATTTTTCGATATTTAGATTTTTCCGTTTTTCGATTTTTCGGCTTTTCGATTTTCCGATTTTTCGATTTTTCGATTTTTCGATTTTTCGATTTTTGGATTTTTCGATTTTTGGATTTTTCGATTTTTCGATTTTTCGATTTTCTTTTATTGAATAAATGAGAAGTTAATATTGTTTAAAGCCGCACCGCTGTGCCGGTCGGAGTGCAATAGCTTAATAAAATTTATTGCTGTTCTTTCGTATTAGTAACAAATAAGTAAATGACATTGTTTTAGAGTTACTATTGAAGTTATTAATGTTCAAGAGTTCTATACCTCTTTTATAACTGTTCCTTCACATTTTTACCAACAAAGAAAATTTTGTAATGAAAAATATTAATATATTTATATTCAATTTAACACAATATAAAAATGATAAACAGATATTGGAACATTATTATGTTATGATGAATGTAAAAATTGAATTTTCTTATTGGGAAATATTTTTTTAAATATTCATAACTATTGTATGTTAAACAATTAAGTTATAACAGCTGTAAAATATATCGCCATTCTAGACCTATCTGTTGTTCATTTTTGATTTTTTTATTGATTTTCTTGTCCAATTATTGACTAGAATTTTTGTATGAGTAGAAGATTGTATAAAAATTCGATTTAAGTTAAACAGGCTTTCTTTATAATAAATCACTTGATTGTCCATTGGAACGTTAGACGTGGCAATCTCGGAAAATGAAAGCAGATTCGCGTATTGAACAGTGACGTGGGCCATAAAGAATTGGAGAGGGCAACAAAAAACAAATAAAATTATCTGATGTGATTATTAAGAAGATAAATTTATGACCCACATTTATTATGGTTTTACGTGTAATAGTAATTTTAAGAATCGTTTTGTATCTACCTGGCTAACGTCACGTTCAGAGCTAATTCATTAACAACTAAATAGATAATGACAATAATAGTTTATTTATTGATTGTTTAATTAGCAATTAGATACACGTAGATAAATTTAAAAAGTGACTAATCCGTTTTTGTCCAGAAAACAGGGTTACAAAATCAACGTCCAAAGGACGGAAAAAATACGTGCATGAAAATTGGTAATACACAAATAAAAATTTTTCAACAATAAATGTAATTGTTATTATTTTGGGGTTACAAAATCGTGAAGGATTGCCATAAGTCAGCAGAAAACATCAGCTTCATAAATTATATTTTCAAAATAGTACTAACTAGTGATTCACAAAGCCCTATAGACCAACAAGGACGTGGGGTTAGAACGACTTCATTTTATGAGAAGAAAATTTGAAATTGAAGTTGTAAATGAAGTTGTAAATGAAGTTGTAAATGAAGTTGTAAATGAAGTTGTAAATGAAATTGTAAATAAAATTGTAAATGAAATTCTAAATTAAGTTGTAAGATAGTAAATAAAATCGTGTACATTTTCATAAAAATATTTTAAGCCGTAGACGAGTAAGAGCATAAAATTACTATTCATTTTTTTGTAAGCAAGTTAGCTTAAATCGACTTATTTTTGACCCTAGAAACTGTGGTTAAATTTACTGTACAATGCGCTAGTTCAGTGTGATGTCATTTTGGTTCCACTGTCATTTAATTCTAACCAAACTTTTAACAAAAACATCAATAAATTTGACATATACGTTTTTACTGTTTTTATTTTATTTCAAAATATTGCTTCCAGGTCATAAAAAATAGTTTAAAGGTATGTAATTGATAACTAAACGATTGTATATTTGATACATGCTATCTACTTACTTTAGGAATATATTTATAAAAGTGAAAAAAACGATATAATTTAGGTAAACAAAACGAACAAAACGCACTCAAATAATCTACTGTCACTTTAATTGTCAGTGGAACCATAATTACATCATCACTGAACTAGCGCATTTTTGTTACACCCGTTATATACAAGGTGTTTATTTAAGAATGAAATATAGAACACAACTGTAGGTATACTCTATGATTAAAAAATAAGACGATTAAACGATACGTGCTTAGGTAAAACTCTTTTCCGAAATACAAGGTGTTAAAGTTGAATTACCAAAAATGTAATAGCTATAATTTTTATATTACTCAATATAATTTTAATAAATTCGGTAAACCTTTTGAATTCATAAAATACACCTATCAGCAAAAAATAAGTGAAATAAACTTTGCCAGTGGTGTATGGTATGGGTAACACCTTCTTCCTCTCTAAATTTATATAATTTAAAATTTTTTCTTAAATAAATCATGTACTCTTGTTGAAAACTTCAAAATTTCAGAAATTTAAAATAAATTAAAAATGAGCATCCACCTTTGTATGCGAATATTTTGAAAACCAATCACTTTACAAGTTTCCAACAAAAGTACATAATTAATGTAAAAACATTAAAATTATAATCCAAATAAGTTTTTGGACAGTGATGTAAAATTTAGAACGGCTAAAGGTGTTACTTACCCTTGCCGTATGCTACTGGCAAAGTTTATTTGACTGATTTTTTTGCTCATAGGCTTATCTAATGACACCAGAAACGTTTGCCAGATTTAGTAAAATTTTACTGAGTAATAAAAAAATTATAGCCATTAATAATTTTTGAATTTTTAACATTAACTGTATTTCGGAAACTAGTAACATTTTACCGGAGCATGTTTTGTCTAATCGTCTTATATTTAATCAGAGAATAATAAGAAGAATGCCTGGCAACCGAGGTCAGGTTAAAGGCGAGGTGAGCTTAACCTTTGTCTTTCTTCAAGGCTGACTCAAGTAGGGCTGACGTATGTGTGACGTGCGAGGGAGGTAGGTAGTGGGTAAAAGGCAATATAATACTTTGTCTTTAAATCTGGTCTAAACAGTAAAATTGGAAAAAAAAAACATTCAAGATGATCCGCATTTTATGATAATCACTTTCGACATGAATAAGACATTCAATTCATTTCTATATTTTTTTTTCTTTACAGATTCAATACAAACAAAGATGGTTACCTAAGCATAGACGAATTAAAGAGAATGATGGAAGTGTTAGGCGCCCCTCAAACCCACCTCGGCCTCAAGGCGATGATCAAGGAAGTGGACGAAGATGATGACGGTCGCCTCTCCTTCCACGAGTTCATGTTGGTGTTCCGCAAAGCCCGCGCTGGAGAACTCGACGAAGAATCCGGATTGGCACAGCTAGCTAAATTGACCGAGATAGATGTTGACAAAGTTGGAGTTAATGGAGCTAAAGAATTTTTTGAAGCCAAGGTAATTTTTTTGTTACATTTACTATAAGTAAGCAAGCTCTGCCGGTCCTTCCATTGATCTTGTATTACATAAAATTAAGTGTTTTCAGACTACAAATCAAAGCTATACATATAATTCACTTATATTGAACGACTTCCTATCTTGTCTTACCTGAAGTTATTATAGGCTTTTTCCGGTTATTCTGTACAACCCCTGTAAATGTTTAGATGATAAACTAAATACGTACATTTTACACAAACATCTTACTCAAAATATTTTTTATATATTCATTGCCAACGAAAATACTAAAAAATAAAAATTTTACCTTTTTACTCAAATTTTTTCCATTAAGGTCTATTTTAGAGAAATTATCCATAGAACAAAAATTATAGAGAATTAGGTATATCGGGATAATTTTCACATCAAACTACCGGCTAGGAATCTCCACAGTCAGTGCCGTGATGGTCTAGAGCAGCCATACTCAATCTGGGGCCCTCCAAGCTGTTTTGTGCGGAGCTCCAAGCTTTTTTGTACGGCCCTCCAAGCTTTTTTGTGCAACTCCAAACACTATTATTAGGACTTGAAATGGTTGACCTACAGTCCTTTAAACAAATTATCCTTGCGAGTTTTCAAAGTTTATTAAAACAACTAAAACAAAATATGTAAACTAAAACAATATGAGGACTTTTTTTAGAAAAATATTTAAAGCGTATCCCTATCGTCATTCATTGTTCTTATTTACATTTCAAAAAGGTGGCAACTTTAGTTATCACCCAAAAATATTGTAGCATAACAAACAGATTTATGTGGCCCAAAAGAAAAAAAGGTTGATTACAGCTGGTCTAGAGGTAGGGCATTTGTGTACAGAACAAAGTCTGGGTTCGAATCCCGGCTAAGACGGGCTTTTTCAAATCTGCAAGTATTTGTTTTCAACTTTGGGGCTCTGATAATAATTAGTAGGGCGATTTTTCATATTTGTTTTCGAATTTTCAAATTTTTTGAACCAATTTTCAAAATATTCGTGAGTTCGAAAAAAATTCCGGAAATAATTTAGGCACTAAAGTCTATTCAGATTTCATTTACGCCGCGTCAAAACAATCTCTCCCATCCAGCAACAGCTCACGTAACATTTTTTTTGCGCTTCTATTGGTTAATCGGTCGTTAGTCATTTAGACGACGCGAAAATATTTTTTGTCATTTAGTTCAATTTGGATAATTATAAACGGCGTTTTGGTAGCATTCACCGTGTTGGCTAGTTTGGACATTTTGTATGTTTGATTGATTATAATTCATTATATTATAGTTTAGATATACATATATTGTGTTATTTATTTTTTTTGTTTCTGTGGTTGTTGTTAGTTTGAACATTTTTTACTCTATTTTATGGACATATTTTGTAACTGCTGCGTGACACTATCTCCTCCACAGATATAGCAGATGAAGTCCAGAAAAATGTTTTTACTCTTTCTAAAAAGCGACTGAAAAAGGGACATTTGGTCATCCGTACTAAATGGTTCTTAATACATATTTATAAGCATTAAATTTTATAGAACCCTGATATGTTGGTACATGATGTTGAAAGGAGAGTTGCTGATAAAACAGGGATGTGCGCTAAAACCGTTTTTAATGTTATGAAGGAGTATAGGCAGATTCATAAATTTTCTGAACCAAAAAGAAAGCTACGTTATAAACAAATTAGTGGCTCTGTGGATGATTTTGATAAAAATGCAATAAGGCGCAAAGTACATCAATTTTTCTTTAGAAATTAACTTCCAACAATCGATAAGGTTTTATTAGAAGTCAACGATGATCCATATTTGTCTACTTTTAAGCGAGCTACATTTTACAAGCTTTTCAAAACCCTTAATTTTAAATTTAAAACTCGAGGAAAACATAGTTTGCTTTTAGACAAAAATGAAATTGTTTCGTCCTACGCCACAAAAAATAAACCGGTACAGAGAAGAAAAGCAAAAATATATTATCTTGATGAGACTTGGATTAACGCAGACCACACCAAATCAAAAGTTTGTTTCGATATGTCGGTTTTTTCATCCAGACAAGCCTTTTTGGATGAACTTTTAACTGGTTTTAAAAACCCATCAGGTATGTGCGTAAAAACAACTCATTATATGCCATATTGGAAGTGAAGAAGGCCTTGTCTCTAATGCACTTTATGTATTTGAGTTGAAAAATCCGGTGACTACCATGAAGAAATGTGTGGAGAATCGTTCATAGAGTGGTTTTCAAACACTCTACCAAAATTAGAAGATAACTGCATTATTATTCGATAAAGCTGGAAAAAATACCTACAACGATGTCTAAAAAAGGTAATATTTAAAAATGGCTATAAGGGAAAAAAATTGAATTCGACTACCAAATGCTTAAGATCCAACTTCTAAAACTTGGTAAGCAACATAAACATTATGATAGGTATGTAATAGATGAAATGGCTAAGCAGCAAAACAACATAATACTTCACCTGTCTCCGTATCATTGTGAACTTAACCCTATTGAATTAATCTAGGTTGACGTTAAACAATACGTAGCAGATAAAAACTCAACATTTAAATCTGGAGACATTAAAACTCTTTTTGAAGAAGTAATATTATTAGTTTCTTCAGAAAAATGGAAAAAGTGATCGACCATGTTCACCAAAAAGTTGAAGTAAAAATGTGGTAGTTGGATAATATTATAGAGGTTCAGGTAGAACCACTTGTAATTTTGATTAATGAAGATAGCCCTTCAAGTCTAACTAATTTATCCGATTCAGAATAGTGCTAAGTTAAGTAAGGAAGATTGCTATAATACAGGGTACAAGGTGTCTAATCTAAATACTAGTAGAACAAGAACAATAAAGAACAAAAGTTGTCAAAAATACAAAAGGTTTCTTTTTAAGATGCACAATTTTAAATCAAATACCAAATACCTCTTATATTTAAAGTTTTTTAATGCTTTTAGTAGATATATATTAACTATTAAAGAATTTGCAATTATTTGGACACCCTGTATAATATAATTTTATAATATGATTGTTTTAATGCTCTGTATCACAGTAGACATATGTAATGAACTAAATATAATGCAAACATCTCTTTTAAAGTCAAATACATTTATTAATTTGTATTGCAGGTTAACGCAGTTTATGTCGCTCACCTATCTTCGTCCAGAAATGTCACTAAAGTCTGGGAGACCGTGTATGGCATTTATTTTATAGTTTTAGTTTACAAAATATGTTTTTATCGTAATAAAAAAATAATTTCACAATTACTCTTTTATTTTACATTTTTGCAAGACGGAAAAGTAAAATACGGCCCTGCTCAATTTTAGCGTCCACCTGCTTCTGTTTACATCAGGCGTAAATTAAATTTGAATAGACTTTAGACTCATTATAGAGGCATATAACCTCTGCAAATTAACCCCCCCCCCCCCCAGATGCTCCGAATAAGGAAATTAAAAATGGGTTTTCTTCATGAAAGTATTAAACTACTAATACAATCCGTAACCTACATAGAACACGAAGCTAATGACCTAAGTTGTCGAAGCCAAAGACACCAATGAAAAAAAAAATGATTTCAAAATCATATTACACTTAGTAATAATTAATAATGCATTGGAACAATTACTTGGAAATCATATTTGTTCTTTTGTTTTACAGATCGGGGAATTAGCGAAAAAAGGCAAGTTTGAAGATGAGATTCGTCAAGAGCAAGAAGAAAGGAAACGTATTGAAGAAGAAAAAGCTGTACGAAAACAACATTTTCTCGAGAAAGCAGCGATTTTCAAATAAATTGAATACCTACTCATTTTAATTATTAAATACTACCACGACTTCGTTCTATCGCATATTTTAATTTTTAGAGCATTTAAGTAATAATAACCTACCTGAATTATAAATTTATTTGTATATAAAAGCCTATATAGTATATAGGAGTTATTTTTGTGACTTTATTTGACACTCTCTCTAGGCTTAATGTGTGAATTGTGATAATTTTATTTTTATAATATATGTATATGAATATATACTGAACATTAAACCTCTCTTATTTAAAAACCCTAAAAATTTTAAAATGTAATTATCGCAAAAATTATAAACTTAAAATACGACTGGCCATATCTTTGAAGAATTTTAAAAATATTAAAAAGGTCTCCGATTTGGTAGGCGAATAGAATCAAGCAGACATTTCAAAAAAGACGTCTGTTGCTTAAAATGATAGACTCTTTCAAAATTGGTGACTACAACTCGGCAAACATTTTCGATATTATTAGGTATAACTCGACTTGTTAAAAGTCAAATCTACTTATTGAGATAATTATTACGTAAACTTGACTAGAAAAATATACCTGTACTTTAAATTTACCAAATGGTTCTAATTTATGTATAAATTTACGTAAATTATGCCAAGAAATCTACCTCGTACAGATATCTGCTTAAAAGTAACTTTAACCAAATCAGAAAGGGTAAAACTACTAACAAAAATAACCAAACATTACCTCAAAGGTAAATTTTCATTAAAGTAAAATTAGGTATCATAATTAGGTAACATCGTCTTTATAGTAGAATATCCTACTAGGTAGATTTGGTTGAACATTTTTCGTAACTTTATACCTATATTGTAGAAAAATTAAACCTTGTTTTTCTACTTAATTTCAACCAAATAGTCGATTACTCATTTAGTTGACCTAAAAGTCATCATGAATAAATAAATATTAACTTTATTGTAGCAAATACCTGAAAAATCTACTACAAAGTAATTTCGACTATAAACCACCAATTTTAAACCTGCCATACATAACCTATTTGTAAAAATTATACTATTTAGGTAATTTTAACAATTAGGTTGTTCACTTATTATCTTCGTCATTATTCTTAAGAATTTCGGCCATTTTAAAAAACCGTTACAATGGTAAACTTAATTCTCTTGTCGTATAGATAGAGCTATAAATAAATGCAAAAAGTAATAAATAATACACTTTCGATTTTTTTCGTAAAGTCAGGCGTTTTAAATCTCAAGTGCAGTATAACGTGAAAAATAAACAAATTATTCCAGTATCCAGTAAATTGATTTGTCAACACACGTTAAATAAAAATTTACACTTAATATAGCTGAAATTTACTAATAGGTAGCATTTCCAAAAATTGGGTGACCTAAATATGTTACATTTACCTACAGGTAAATTTTTGATAAAACTTACAAGTTATTAATTCTTTAAATAGGTAAAGTTAACTAATATGTCGTTATCTTTAAGGTAATTCAACTTAGTCAAAAGCTATTTGTAAAATACGTAGATTTCCATAGTCGTATTAACTTTTAAGTCGAATTAGCACAATACGCCATATTTTCTTAACATAATTGAAGTACGATTCCAAATTTAAATTTTTTTAAATTAATTTAACTAAAAAAGAACGGATGACAATTACAAAAAAAAACATTATTGATTTTCTAAAGTGATACACAACAAATGTAAGATAGTTTTAGTTAATATTATTATTACAATTTTTTTACATCCTAATATTTCTTTTTATATTTTTTCTTATTAAAGAATATTTTGGAAGGGCATGGTTATTTTTCAAAGTAGAACTGGTAACATGCACGACAAAATTTCCTTCGCATTAATTTTAACAAACGTAACCTATTGATTCGTCGTAATTAAATAACATATATATTTTTGTTACCGACATTTATTTATTTTTAATCTTTGCTGTGAATTAAGTATATATTTTAGTTGTGTTGGTCACTTCCTACAATATTTCGACTTCTATAGATAAAAATACCAAATAAGTATAAAATTTATCTTTTTGTACACTTGAAGTCATTCGTCATCTGAAAAGCTTTGTAGTTTCTACCTAAAGCTCGTTAAATTAACGTCGAATTGACGTTATACTGACGTCAAATTTCCCTAGAGAAGTATTAACTAACCAAACGTAGTAGGCTACTACAATGTGGATCTAGGCGTAATTTTACCTATTTTGGTCAATAAAACCAAATTTCGACGTCGTCTTATTCTCCACTTATGTCGAGATAACGTAAATTTTCCTTAAATGTGGTTGAATCTAATTTTGCGACCAAATTTATTATACATATTTTAGGTAGTCCCGACGTCAAATTAAACCAAAATGTTTGCTGGGGTACTATAAAGAATTCGACAGTTTGATTTTTTAAAAGCTTTATGTCCTCTATTCACTATTCGATCCGTGCGAAGTCATGGAAAGGGAAGCAAAAGCGATACTAGCGCTAGCTGCGGATAATTCGTGCATTTTAGGGCGATATTTTGTAATTTTGGCATATCAAATACACGTATACATTTTACTTTTTTTCAAAAAAAAGTAGGTAAAAACAATACAATAAGCAACCGGAGTTGCTGTGTTGAAAATTGAACAAATACTAGCAAAAAAAACAGTGAAACTTATATAAAAAATTTCAGTAGCAAAGTGGAAATTAAAGAAATAAATGGATAGATATACAATAAGATGAAAAATTACCTTTATTTTTGTAATAATAACCGTAATGCTGCAAATAGTAGACATCAGAAACTTGAAAGGTTTTAAATCAACAATAAATTATCATTTTACCATGTTCTTTAATATCCCTTATTCTTAAATGTTCATTCCCAGATAGCACAGGACGTCCCATGGACGTCCTGATTTGGTCCCTTGTTGGTCCCGGACCTAAATCGGACGTCCAATGGACTTCCGATTACAGTGAACACTAGGACGTCCTTCGAAGGACGTCCTCTGGACGTCCTATTTTGGTCCCGTTTCGACAAAGCGTTTAGGTTTCGGTCCGAGTCCGGGACGTTAATGGGACGTCTATGGGACTTTTTATGTATTAGCATCATTGGTCTTTGAATCGATAACTTGAAATTCAACGTTTTGTTTTTGCAAGAGTATGAGGACAGAAAACCTAACCTATCATTTATTTTCAAATGAACAACAACAGCTACAATTTTCGGCATTCAATAATTAACTTATATAAGTGAGTTAGATTAACGAAGAAAAAAGAAGGTTATATAATGTTATTTGTTATTTTTTTGATGTTGGTGGTAAAGTGGTTATAAAGTGAAGTGAGTGTTTTGTGTTGAGGTGAGAATAAGTGATGTGTATTGGCGATAGTCGCTGGCGGAAAGAAAATACCTTAATGGCGGAGTGTTAAATTTAATTCATTCCTGTTTAACTCTAGCAGTTTTTTCTGGATAAAAGTTGTTAAATAAAGCTCTTTTATTGTTAACATTTTTGTTATTATTGCCCTTTATGGATTATGATCAAATATCATCCCTCGGACGTCTGATTTACGTCCCTAGGACGTCCCGCAAAGGTCCCTATGACATCCTTTTGGGATGTCCCAGGGACGTCCTCAAGGGACGTCCCAAAGATGGACGGAAACGGGACATTAGGACGTCCGATTGACGTCCCGGTACCAAAAAAGGACGTCCCTCGGACGTCCTTTATGTCCCTGAAGGACGTCTTTTAGACGTCCATAAGACGTCCGTGTGCTATGTGGGTTCAGCAAGGACTAGATTTCAAGATTTCTGCCTTTGATTATTATATGTGGTTGGAACGCAATTTTGTAACTTACTGATGGGAAATCAGTTTTAATCATTCATTCTATGTTTTCTTTCGAACAAAAATGAAAATATAAGTAATAACCCTTTTTTTTATACATTTTAACTTCACCCTATTATTAAATGGAATTTTTTTATTTTGACAGATTAGAGTAATTCTTCAATGAAAACTTATTAGACTTAGGCAACTTCTCATACAATTTCCAGTAAATACTGTTGCCTGCCTATATTTTATTATTCATTTTTATCGATTATACATAATTTTCTTTAATTTAAGCGATAAAAATATATAATAATAATAAATTAATGTTTTACTTGTTTTACAAATCCATATACTTTTATTAAAACTACCATATATATTTTTTAATTACGAATTCTATTAAAAGTTACATTTGTCAGTGAACGCAGAAATAGTCCATTAGTATCAAAACGAATTGGCGCTGCTGTCGCGCACGGAGCGAATACGAGGCAAGAGAGAGGTCCGACACGCCCAACATAGGGCGCGGCCATTTTGAACCCTGTGACACAGTTTACAGCTAAAGAATCAGATCGCTCACTCTGCGTCGGCACTTTTGATCTCAATGTTTCAGTTTATACACTGTGCAACTGGATAATACAATATATGACAACTGCCTATAATAAAACAACATCCTGAATTTGTATCCCTGGAGTGGATGTTATTTTGGAACTTTCAACTGGTCCGAGTGACCTAACTGATTCTTTAGCAATAAACTGTGACTTCAAAAATAATATTCACTGACACTGATAGCAGTAAGCAAAATATCAGGTGCGTTTTAATCATCCGCTTCTGCTTCCGGAATTGTCGGTTTAGTCGTTTTAACCTGTCAGTTTAAAACAAGAAAACTGACAATTCCAAAGCAGAAGCGGATGATTAAAACGCACCTATTAAAAATATTGCGCCAAGATGTAGGCAACACGTAATAAGGGTTCAGAATGGCGAAGTTTTCTATCTTCTTTTAAAAGGCACTCAGAAAGCTGCGCAGTGCGACCATTCTCCGTATAGTAAAAGAAAATCAAAGTATGTGCCTCTATTATATAAACCGAATTTTATCCAGATCCCAACAACTTTTTAAATGATACAGTTAGAAATAATTTACTTTAACCGTATGCCAAGTCTCATCGAAATCTGAGACAAAAGAAAATTTCTTGGAAAAAATTAAAAAGAATTTTTAAAATATTTGGCTTACAAATTGAATGAAGCGCAGACATTTCAAAAAGACAACTGTTGCTTATAGTTAGATTTTTTTGAAATATACGTAGTTGTTTACAAAATTATATTGGATAAATAATGAATTCTATGTTTGGTCGATTAACAGGAATAAAATAAAATAATTTGTTTCATAGAACGGTTG